GGGGGGGGGGGGCACGAACGGATGAAGAGTCCAATGACATCTATGTGTGTCACCCACCTCGTTTTCTTTAGAGGTGTGTGCTCAAAACTTGGTGACAGATTAATTGTCGCGCATACACACGAGGTAGTTCGAGGTAGTTAATTGTTCTGTTCAAAAATGGTTTAGTCTACTTCCTCCATCTTGGAAACCACATCGGGGTTTGCTTCGACTTCCTCAAGAGGAGGTACGTCCTCACCGTTCTCAACAAGCATGTCGTCCTCGTCGATGCAGAGTCCGAGCTTGATCATTCTGTGAATGCGTCCGGAGAACTGCGACGGTTCTTCGAGGGAGAAGCCTGAAGTGAGGAGGGCAGTGTCGTAGAGCAGCCAGATAAGATCCTTTACGGTCTTGTCGGACTTGTCGGCGTCGGCCTTCTTTTTAAGCTCCTTCATGATGGGGTGGTAGAGGTTGATTTCCATAGTCTTCTTCGAGATCATGTAGCTGGTCATGGTGTTGTCACGAAGAGCCTGAGCCTTCATGATACGCTCCATGTTCGCGGACCAACCGAACTCAGAGGTGACGAGGACGCAAGGAGACTCAGTCACGCGCTCGCTGCACACAACCTTCTCAACCTTGTCGTGCAAGACTTCCTTCATGAGCTTGGTCAAGCCCTCGAAGTCGGTCTTGAGCTCATCGAACTCCTTCTTCTCCTCCTCGGTCTTCTCCAGCTCCAGACCCTCCTTAGAGCAGCACACCAGCTTGTGGCCGGAGTACTCACGGAGCTGCTGAACAACGTACTCGTCAATCGGGTCAACCATGTACACAACCTCGTAGCCCTTTTTCTTCAGAGCCTCCAAGAACGGAGAAGAAGCCACAGCGGCCTTGCTCTCACCAGTGATATAGTAGATGGATTTCTGGCCCTCCTTCATGTTGTCCACGTACTCCTTCAGGGACACCTCGTCATCGCCAGACTTTGAGGTAGGGAATCTCAACAACTCAGCAATCTACAAAGTAACCAGTGACAAACGCTTTCGATTAACGGGATCGGGGATGGGGATGGATTGCATCAGTGTTGCGTTCAGGCCTCATATTTGCCAAAGGCAAATATGCTAATTGCATAGGCAACTGCTGGCCCCATTGCAGTTGATGTGGCCTAGAAGCTTCCTTGAATTACCCACAACTCCCTTTCGTCACTTCGAGGAACAATCCACGAAAGACGAGAGGCGGGTAGACAAGGCCTTATTTAGGCGACGACGTGATAACCAATCGGATGTGCTTGCTTTGCAAAGTCGGACGTGCTAAGTTATCACCGTATTATACATTACGGGCATGTAAGTGAGTGTGCAAATTACCTTTTCGCGGTTGGTGTTATCCTCGTGGATACCCAGCTTGATGTTCTTTGAGAACTGCTCGTAGAACTGTTTGTAGTTCTCTTTGTTCTCCGCGATCTCAGCAAAGAGTTCGAGGCACTTCTTCACAAGGTTCTTGCGGATGACCTTCATGATCTTGTTCTGCTGCAGGGTCTCACGAGAGATGTTGAGCGGCAAGTCCTCAGAGTCCACGACGCCCTTAACGAAGGAGAGCCACTCGGGGATCAGTTCCTCGCAATCGGAGGTGATGAAGACTCTTCTGACGTAGAGCTTGATGTTATCGCGCTTCTTGCGGGTCTCGAACAAGTCGAAGGGGGCTCTCTTGGGGGCGAAGAGAACAGCCTTGAACTCGAGCTGACCTTCAACGGAGAAATGCTTCACAGCGAGGTGCTTCTCCCAGTCGTTGGAGATGCTCTTGTAGAAGGCGGCATATTCCTCCTCAGTCACCTCTTCGGGCTTGCGCATCCAGAGAGGCTTGTTCTTGTTGACCTTCTCGTACTCAACAACCTCTTCGGTGACGGTCTTAGTGAACTTCTTGGGCTCTTCGTCGTCAGCCTTCTTGTCCTCTTCCTCCTCACCTTCCTTCTTCTCCTCGGCCTTCTTCTTGGCCTCTTCCTCCTTACGCTCAGCCTCCTTCTTCTGGGCTTCCTCTAGTTCCTCTCCCTCCAACTCGACCTCCTTCGATCGGCTCTTAGTGCAAGCGAGCAGGATATCAAAGTTAATAAACTCAGAGTGTTTCTTAATCAAGTCAGTAAGTCTCTTCTCCTCCTCGTATTCGAACTGGTCCTCCTTCAACTTCAAAATAATGTGAGTACCACGGGTAATCTTAGGGTAGCCGGAAGACTCCTCCCACTTGCTGACAGTGAAGGAACCACCAGCGGCAGACTCCCAGATGTATTGCTCGTCATCAGGGTGCTTGGAGACAACAGTGACGGTCTCAGCCACAAGATAAGCGGAGTAGAAGCCCACGCCGAATTGTCCAATGAGCGACATGTCACCATTGTTGCTCTCTAGAGCCTCCATGAAGGCCTTGGTACCCGAACGGGCGATGGTACCCAGGTTCTTAATAAGCTCCTCGCGGGTCATACCCACACCAGTATCAGCGATGGTCAAGGTATGCGCGTCCTTGTTGGGGACAATGGCAATCTGGAACTTCTCCTCATCCTTAATCGACTCCGGGTCAGTCAAAGAACGGTAGCGGATCTTATCCAAAGCATCCGACGAGTTCGAAATCAACTCACGAAGGAAAATCTCCTTGTTGCTGTAGAAGGTGTTGATAATAAGGGACATCAACTGCTGGATATCAGCATTGAAGCTAAACTTCTCGGACGACATGTTTGTACAAGTTAAAACTTTTTATACAACTTTAAAAATTCTCGCCGCCCAGGAGACAAAACGGCAGTACGAACTGGCAATCCAGCTTCACCCATTTTTAAATCTGCACAGAGCCACTGTCAGCTTTGAGCTGGACCCCTATGCATTACCACGCAATAGTTTCCCGTGGTGTGTATAACGATGTATAGATTCGGGCATGCCCCGACCCCTATATATATTCTTTGAAAAAAATCCAACCTGTCGGGCCAACCGTGTCGAGCTTCGGAAATAACCAACATGCTTGCATGATGCCTTCCGCGCCATACCTCTCCAGTTCGCGCCGAACCTCTCCCGACCGTCTTCAGCGCTTTTCCTTCTAATATATTCCACTTCGTAACATTCCACGGACCGCTATTTGAATCTTGCGGACAACGGCAGAACGGGGTCACCACGTGTTCAGGCGCTAGCGCGCCGTTAGACCTAGTACGCAGGTCTCCAGCCACCATTTGTGAAAGCGTGCGTCTGTGGTGAGTTCTGGGTGGAAGCTTGTGCCGACTAGGTGTCCTTGTCGCACCGCAATTATCTCGCCGGACAGGAGTCTGCCCAAGACCTCCACGGGCGCACTTTTAGGGTCATTCGCCTTATAGTCGTCGGCTAAGATGACGTCCACCACTGGCGCCCTGATGAATACAGATTCGAGTGGCCGTTGCGGTTCGTCACTCAAGAAGGGCATGGATACGGGCGCAATGAAGGACTCCGTTTGGCGGCCAAAGTGGTTCCTGCAAACTCGGACCCCGAGACCTCCAATTAGCGGCTGTCCATCGGACTTGCCGCCGCTGATTTGGTCCGCCAGGACGATGAGTCCTGCGCACGTGCCCCAGACCGATTTCGAGCCGTCCCGTACAAAACGTCGCAGATCATCTAACAAGCCATTCCGCTCAGCCACGATCCCGAAAGTCGTACTCTCACCACCAGGAATCACGAGTGCATCACACGAAGCTAATTCACTCGGCGTCCTAACCTCGACCACCTCCAGCGCAATCACCGTCCCGCCACGCGCGCGCAGCTGACGGTACGCCTCCTCCAACAACACCGCGTGCTCCTGGAAGGCGCCTTGCAACGCCAATATCCCTATCCTCATTTTATCTGCCGAGCCGGCCTAAAAAATCCAGAGCGCCCTGCCTGCCCGCCTGGCGCTCCCTCGCGACATACCCAGCGAAAGTAACGACAACGGCGATATCGACGGCGACAGCGGCAGCGACAGTCTCCCTGTCAGCCTCAACAGGCAACCTGCTGGACGCGAGTGCTAACTCATGCTCACTCACAGCTCCGTAGATATCACTGATTGTTTCGCTGTTGCTCATTGCCGGCCGTTGGCTACATGCGTTGCCATTGGGGCGTGGCTTGGTAGTCGGCGTTGGCTCCGGTGACACTTTGTTCGTACATGCGGGTCCAGGAGTCCATGACATCTGCTGGGACGGCGTAGGTAAGGGTGAGGCCGGCGAGGTCGATTCGCCAGTCTCGGTAGCGCGCGATGAAGGCGAAGAAGGCGTTGGCAGCTGCGAAGACGAGACGAACACTGTCGCCGTCGTAAGGTTCGAGGATTGTACAGCCTTCGAGGGCAAGTGGTTTCAGCACGAGTTCCAGCAGTCGCTGGTGAGAACATCCCGCTGGTAACTTGGGTACATCCACACACCACCGCGCGCCCCCGGGCACGAACGGCGCCGGCGCCGGCGCCGGGACCAGCGGCCCCAAGCCGAACTGCGAACCCGCAAAGTGCGAAGAAGGCGCCAATGAGCTTGGCCCCAAGTGCGGTGCCAGATGGGCACCTGGTCCGAGATGCGGGGCGGAATGGATGACCCCACCGGAAGCGGTCAAGCCTCGTCGAGCGGGGTTAAATGGTTGCCGTGTTTTGCCGCGAGCCCAAGTCAGTTTGAAACGGCGGCCGTGGGAACGTTTGAAGACGGGTGCGGCGGCGAGCACACGTTCCGCCACCTCGCGACTGCAGAAGTCAACGAAGCCGTAACCGAGCGAACGCTGCTGATCCTTGTCACGAGCCACCTTCACTGACGTCACCGACTGGGGGAAGTACTGTTCGAAGTAGGCATAAATGTACTCCTCATCCTCCCACCGCTCCAAATCCCCGATCCACAACGTCGTGTTTTCCACCGACCCCCGTGGACCCATTTCCAATGCTCGAGGGTCAAGCTCCAACGTACGCGGGCGGGTACGTTGAGTCTCTTCCGCTATCCGTCTGTCTTCCGCTAACCTTTCTTCTGCTGCTGATCTGTCTTCCGCCGTTGACCTGTCTTCCGCTGACCTTCCTGAAGCTGACCTGGCGTCCAATGACCTGCCATCGACCGAATGAGTGGTGAGTTCTGTGCTCGTGCCGGCTGCAGCCGTCGAGACTGCTTCGGCCGGCTGTCGAGTTTGTGCCGCAGGTGTCGACTCTAGAGGTAACCCCGTGACTCCATCGGCATTCTCCCCTTCCGGGCCGTCCGCTGTTTCAGACCGAGCATTGTCAGAGCTGCCCTCGCATGTGGGTGCTTCTTCTGGGCTAGGCGGTGCCTCCCTCGCGTCTAGAGCTTCTGGACTTTCCGCGGCCCTGTGCTCCCCCGGGGGGTGTTCCCCGGGGCTGTGTTCCCCGGGGGGGCGCTGTTCCTCGAGGAGTTTCTCGGGGCTCTGTTCCCCGGGGCTAGAGAGTGGCTCGGTAAGGGGGGTATATTCTGTGTTAGTGGCAGTATGTACCCGTTTGGGTGTGTCCAGGACACAGCTCACGGACCGGTCCAGCGGCCTCTTTTGTGGCAGTTCTTCTTCCTCTTCACCCTTCAGCTGTGTATAGGTCAACGCATCGTCCGGTTTGCTTTCTCCGGCTCTCATTCTTTTTCTTCCAGGCCAATTTTTACTTATGTCCGTAGACGAAGAACACACTACCACCACCTTACAAGGCGCTGCTGTCGCCGTGCCAGCTCTTAGCGCAGCCGGTTTGCCGATAGCAGTGGACGGGAGCGGCAAGGCAGACTCCAAGGCAGACCAGTTCCGACTTAAAGCGGGATTGGCGCGTATGTTGAAGGGGGGCGTGATCATGGACGTGGTTAACGCGAAGCAGGCGAAGATTGCGGAACGCGCGGGTGCCTGTGCTGTCATGGCATTGGAGCGTGTGCCGGCGGACATCCGAGCTGAAGGAGGAGTGGCGAGGATGAGTGATCCAAAGTTGATTCGGGAGATCATGGACGCAGTTTCGATTCCAGTCATGGCCAAATGTCGCATAGGTCATTTTGTGGAGGCGCAAATTTTGCAGGAGATGGGGGTGGACTTTATTGACGAATCTGAAGTCCTAACGCCAGCCGACCGGGACCAACAGATCTACAAAACGCCCTTCAAAACACCCTTCGTCTGCGGTGCTAAAGATCTAGGTGAGGCACTGCGCCGTATCGGTGAAGGCGCTGCCATGATCCGTTCCAAGGGCGAGGCCGGGACCGGGGACGTCACGGAGGCAGTGCGGCATATCCGCGTACTCCACTCTCAAATTAAACGCGCCGCTGCCATGTCTGAGGAAGAACTCTTTGCCTACGCAAAAGAACTGCGCGCACCCTACGACTTACTCAAACAGACCGCTGAACTCGGCAGACTCCCCGTCGTCTGCTTCGCCGCCGGTGGCGTTGCCACCCCAGCCGACGCCGCGCTCTGCATGCAACTCGGCGTCGAAGGAGTCTTCGTCGGCTCCGGCATTTTCCTCGGCGCCTTTCCCGAACGGCGCGCCAAAGCAATCGTCCAGGCTGTTACGCATTACAAGGATCCCAAGGTCCTGGCCGAAGTCAGCACCGACCTGGGGCCTGCTATGGTCGGCCGGACCGTCGAAAGCCTCCAACAATGCGAACAAATGGCGCGCCGCGAATAAACCCGACCCGAATCGAACCGCCGCCGCGAATCGAATCACTTCCCCACGGGTTCAGAGCCGACGCCATCTGCCCACCAAACGTCGCTGACACGTTTAAATTATTTTCGGAAGCGCGGCAGCGGCACGATGCCCGTCAAAACATTTTTGGTTTCCTCAACCCCCAACTCACTCAGCGCACAGAGCACGGGCAGCAGCGCCTGTTCGTTTGGGTTTTTTCCGTGTTTGTGGACCGTGAGGTATGCACGTACGAGTCGTTTCAATTCGCTGTCGGCGTCGTTGTGCGCGATGGAGGGCGAGCCTCCGGGGACCAGTCCCGGAGGTGCAGGGGGCGAGCTTGCGGGGGTGCCCTTGATCCCGGGACTATACCTGCTTGTGGGACTGCCCGTAGACGCCGTGGGCCGTGTGCGGACTTGCTCTTTGAGTTGCTCTTTGAGTCTGGCCACCTCGGCCTCAGTCTGTTTTAGCGACTCGCGCAGACGTGCGACTCGCGCAGTAAGGACTCGTTCGCTGTTTTCAAAGACGCGTTCGCGCTCGGCGAGTCGTTTCAGCGCCTCGTCCGTGTTCGCCTTGGACTCCAGTGCGCGCAACTGCTCCGTGAGTCCGGCGATGGTGGCGCTCTTGTTTTCCAGAGCGACTCCGGCTTCAGCCATACGGCCCTCCAGCCTATGGACTTGAGATTGTAGCCGCGCGCGCTCATGCTCCAAATACGCCTGCCGTCCGTCCAGTTCTCGGCCCCGGCTATCCAGCGCCCGGGTCCGGTCTCCAAGCACTCGCTCGCTATCTCCTAGCATTATTTCGCGATCGTTGAGCACCTCCGTTCTCATCTCCACCGATCGCTCGCCCATCAGCACTCGGCGTTCCGCCTCTCCCAACTCCACCGCCCTACTCTCCAGACGCCCCGCTTCCCCCTCCACCCAGGCCTCTTTAATTGCAACCGCCTTCTCCCGTTCTTGGAGCCCAAAGTCACTCTTAGCGATCGCACTCTCCTTTATGCCCAACACTGCGAATCGCCGATCCACCTCTGCCTCCTTACTACTTACCAGCATCACCTTTCGCGCATATTCCGCCATCTGCTCTTGTAACGCCTGGACCTGGACGGCGTGCGTCTTCTCCATCCGGGAGCCATCGGCTTTCAATCGCGCGTCCTCAGCTTTCAATCGCGCGTCCTCAATCGCCAGTTCCGCCTTGAATTGGCGCAGCTCTTCCGCTCGTCGTTGCATCTCGGCCTCGGCACAGCTCTGTTTTGATTCGAAGCTAACCTTCAGACGGTTTAGTTCCTCCTCTCGATCAGTTTGCTGGCCCTCCTTTTTCTCCAGCTCCTGACTGGCGGCTTCCAGCTCTCGAGTTGCGACGTCGAGTTCCTCATGACGATGCTTTAACTCTTCCAAAACCACTTGACGAGTCTTCTTAAGCATTTCCGTGTTCTGAGTGTCCATCGCCGTTTTTTGGTCAACCAACGCCTTTCGCTCCTCAGTTAACCTCTGTTCCTGTTCGGCCATTTCCTGTTCTCTGCTGGCCAAAATTAGTTCGCGCTCGGCATAAGCCTTCTCCAGGCGACTTTCATACTGTGTCTCGCGCTCTCGAAGAGACTGCTCCAGTAGTTTCAGTGCGTCTTTCTTCTTGTCTAAGCACTCTTCCGACTCTTGTCGTTCCCGCTGATTCGCTTCGTCCCGTTCCTCTTGCTGGGTAATTTGTTTCTTTAGAGACGCAACCTGCATCTGTAGGGCAGAAATGACGCCTTCATCAGTAGACAACTGCTCCAATAAAGACAACTTGAGCTGTGCCACGGCTTCCTTATCATCTTCCAACTGTTGGAATTCAGCCAAAGGGACAATCTACTTAAGTTCATGTACGTGTGGTGTGTGTGTGTGCGCGCGCGACTTTGTGCGCGTGGTTTACTTTATAGGCTTGATTTATTTTCTCTAGTAGATGGTGACGGTCAAGTTGGTCCAAAAGTATTTTAAGGTCGTCATCATGTGACATCTAAAAATTTCCACTGTAATCTAAGTTGTTTAATCTCTGTTCTTTTGAGTCGCTCTTTGAATGCGATTCGCATAATATATTCGATGGGGAATTCAGCGAGTGCATTAAGATCACCTCTTAGCACAGTGATGACACCGTCCTGATTTTCATTTTGGCTTTGTTTGAACTTTTCAGCAAGACATCTAAGTATGGCTAAGCCTACTCTAAATAAGATCTTGTCACCTTCCAATATCAGACTGTCCCAAATCCGTAGAGACAACGGCATAGGGATTCGATTCGAGTAAAGGCAAAGAAGCCAATGTGAGCACAATAATTCTATATTCCAGTCGTCGAATAGCTCGTAGATATCAGGCAACTTTAATCGTACTAATTCCCCAAACACAAACATATCTTGTCGTAAACCCCGCATATCAGGTGAGTAGTAATCGCTCAAACTAAAGCCACGACTATATAACCGAGTATCAACCAACTGTACTAATGACCAGAATGCCAGCTCTTCGGGAAAGATCAATAACAATACTCCAGCCAAAAAGTTCAGAGATTGACAGTAATTCACCGCAGGATTGTACACAGCAAAAGCATATAACAATCTACGTAACGAATCCTGACCACCTGTAGGGTCCTTAAACTACAGTCATGCATCCCGTCACCATGCACCCACGTCACCATGCACCCACGTCACCATGCACCCACGTCACCATGCACCCACGTCACCATGCACCCACGTCACCATGCACCCACGTCACCATGCACCCACGTCACCATGCACCCGTGATAATCCCCATAGACCTCTCAGGGTGTGTGTTCACTTACCCAGACGTGGGAAGGGTATGTTCTCGGCACGTCCAAGTTTATTTGGACTGCGATTGACTCATCAAGCTTAGACTGCAACAATCTGCACAAAGGCCCGGGTGGATTAACGTGACCAGGGGGGAGACGTTACGCCCGCGCAGGGGGGAGACGTTACGCCCGCGCAGGGGGGGAAGGGAGGATAGGGGCGAGATAGGCCCACCCAGGGAGGGGGGTCTACCTGGAGTAGCAACCCACATTTCGCGAGTAGACCATAAGGCTCCCCAGCGCCACTGACCAGCAGTACGGCCGGAGCGTGTGCGGGATACCCTTCCGGCTCATTCTGCGTTTGAAACGGCTGTCGTTGAGCCAGGGGTCTCGTTGGATGAACCGTAACCAGCGGGGTCGGATCCGCGCCAGGTAGCTCCACTCGTGCGCGTAAGTCAGTACCAAAGCGCGAGCCACGGGTCCGTAACCTCCCGTTGGCGGTTCAGTCGGGCTCTGGATCCGGTCCAGGATGGCGCCCGTCCCAGCAGCGACTGGGTGGTCCTCATCTTCCGCGGTAGGCCAGCGGAACCCAAGCGGGTCGTACTCAGGATCTAGTAGAGCCAGTCGGTTGCGCCAAGGCGGATGGAACAGTCTGTAGAACACTCGCCTGCTCTCCGTGCCTTGGTTCAACTCATCCCACATCAACAACCGGCCCAAAAGCACCTCAGTGTTCAACGTGCCTCCTCCGTGAGTAAGCGGCCACTCCTGACGAGACCACTGCGGCAGCAGCATATTATTAACCCTACCCTGACCCCAACCTCAGTCTCGATCCTAACTTCAACTCCGCTACTTTCTTTCCCCCAACCCAGTGTTGCACCTTAACCGAGAATAGCCTAGCAGTCGGAGCCGTGGTGCAAAGGCATTCAAACAGCTTTCAAGCGACTGTTACAGAGGGCTCACAGTCGTCCCTGGCCGACCACGCGCTGAAGAAACGTACCCCACAACCCGACTCACATGCTACAGCTTGGCGATGCGCTAGGCTTTTCCAACACTAAGATAGGCACGGCCCAGTCTCTGGAGCTGAATAGCACTACCAAGATCCTTTATGATCGCAGGGACAAGAACCTTTCCTTCACAGCTTGGGAGCTGGCGCTAACTATCAGGCGACTAGCAGTAAGACCACTTCCACTCCAACTCTGAGGGGCCTATCCACTTCCATCCCATCCCCCTTCTCTCAAAGCAGTGTCTCTGTCTGTAGTGGCAACTGTATCATATACGACAGGACCTATCTGAATGCATTAAGCAAGACACCGTGGTGACTGTGTTTCCACAGTCGGTAGATTCGTTGGTGGCGATATGCGCAATCGCGGGGCTCTCGTGGGCAGCGGCGCCACTCGGGCCGGATGATAAGGCGGCGACGTACGTGAACAACCTGCACGTGTTGAAGCCTACGTTTGTGTTGGTGCACCCGGAGTGCCTGGAGGCGGTGGCTGGCGCGCAGGCTGTCGGCATTCCGGTCGTGACTATGCAATGGGCACCGGCCCGATCCGAACCGGGGTCCAACGGAGCAGGAGCGAAAGACGCCCAGCCCATCCCAGAGCCGCGTTGTTCGTTCGTGGGACGGGCGCACCCTTTGGTGACGCCGTTCCCGGAAGCGTTGACGGGTGGTACGTCCGGTGACAGTGGGGCGCACGGTGAGTTCAACTCGTTGTTGACACCCCACGAAACGGACGTATGTCTGAGGTACCGCAAGCCGGGTTCGGCCTTGGTCATTCCACTCACGCACCGCAATGTGGTAGTCAGCATGGCCAACGTGCAACGCTGTTACGGCTTCCAGGGCGCCTCCGACGTTGAGGGTGTCGAGGGAGAAACCGTAGACGTGAGCTACTGTGTCGCCCCCGTGCACACTGCACACGGTCTCATTACCGGCTGCCTCTCGATGCTCTCGCAACAAGCAGGCGTCGTCATCGCCGACTTCCAGCCTTCCCGCTTCTGGTCAGACATCAATGAGTACCGCTGCACCTGGGCCAGTCTCCTGCCTTACATGATCTTTCAACAAGTCAACCACGGACGCCTCGAGACCCCGAACGAGAAGACCCCCGCTGAGGACAATACTCCCGCTGGAGACAATACCCCTGCGGGCGGTGAGAAGGCGCCTGCGTTCTTCCGGTTTCTCCGGGTGACGTCGATGCACATGGACGCGGCGTTGATGAAGACAATGGAGGAACGGACAGGCGTGCCAGTGTTATGTGCTTACGGCGCGGGTCAGGCAAGTCACCAAATCACGAGCTCGGGGTATCCAACTTTCGACACACGTGTACCGGGTTCGGTTGGCGTGCCGACAGGGTGCGAAGTGTGTGTGCTCAACGACGACTTAGAATGTGTGTCACGTGGTGAAGAAGGTACTGTTTGGATCCGGGGGCACAATGTTATTGATGGGTTCGAAGGCGATGGCGCGAAACTCGTGGACGCCGCCGACTTCGTGTTCCACAACACCATTGAGTGGTCCCTCGCGGAACCGCCCTCTTTCCTTTCCTCCGCCTACGACCTTGGGTCCGGTCGCTTCCGTCAGTACAGTACACTTCCGCAATCTAACGCTCTCGCCCAACAGAATCCCGATGCTCAAAACATGGGCCTCACCCAACAACACGGAGTCGCTGCCGAGACCACTCAGCACCCCCAGGTCCCGAGCGCGAATCCCACGGCGCCCAATTCCAGTCCTATTTCCGAAGCTCGGAGTCCTCAAGCTCCGAGTCCTCAAGCCCCGGGCTCTGAGGTCCCGAGTCCCGAGAAGGACACGCGACCGAGACGCTCCAGTACAGACCACCGGATTACTCGGAGGCGTTCCTCGGCGGTCGAACGCACACAAGAAGAGCATGTGGCCTTCACCGACGGCTCTCCTTTGACAGGCGCGGAGGCGCCCGTGCCGCTTGAGGCCTCGGCTAAAATGGCGGAGCCGCTGACGCGTCCTGTGCCGCCTGAGTTAGCGAGTACTCTGAAAGAGGCGGAAGACGAGCAGATCGAGATCTACCTGAAAAAGATGGAGCCTCAGGAAGAGGAGGGCGACCACAAGGGCGACGAAGAAAAGGCCGTGGCGCCCGTGGTGGAAGGCGGCGACGAGGCGACCGAGCGCTTCCTGACCTACAATGATCAACCGGGTACGATGTCCGGCGCAAAGTCCTCGCCAGCCATATCGGACTGTAGTTTCGGCGGCCTTGACGACCACAACCCCAACGACCAGAACGGCCACCCGGAAGTGCTGGGGAACGGGCACCAGCTGCTCGGCAACGCCCATCGTTCTCCAGCCGGCTCACCAGCCGGTTCCTCCGCTGGATTGCCGCTCGGTTCGCCGAGTGGTTTGTCGTTCCTAGGCAGCGCGTCAATGCGGAGTGGATTCTTGTCGCGCGATTTGATTCCCCCGTCGGGGCGTGCGTTAAGGGGGCAGAAGATCAACCGGTTTGCGTCGGGATTGAGTGCGTACACGGGAGACTTTCCGATGCGGGACGACCCGATGTTGTCGCCGTTGCCTTTGATAATGCGTTGGCACAACACGCACGATCGAGGACGCATGGACGCGGAAGGACGGTTGTACATTGTGGCACATGACAGTCGCACAGTGCGCGTGGAGACGCAGTTGACCTCAACCGGGCACGTTGAAGACATCCTCACCAAACACCCCGCCATCAGCAAAGCACTCGCCGTCGGCGTTTCACACGAATTCACCGGCCAGAAATTGGTTGCACTCGTAGAGCTCGCACACGCCACGGCCGTGACCGTCACCGACCTTCTCCGCGACCTAGAGTCCACCTGCAGTCGCTACGAAGTCCCATCCGAAATACTCATACTGAAAACACTCCCAGACCCGCAGGATACTGTCGCCCGACGCAAGCTTGCCGAACGACTCTACAACGTTTACGAAACACGCGACCATGAACAGTAGTCCGCACTCCAGGCCTGGCCCACAGTTTTTGCTCTATGAAATATGGCGGACAACGTCAACCAAACCCTCCACGACGTCGTTGAACGGACTCGGGCTAAAATCCTGCACTCCCTCAGTGGTATACTCACCTCTGCTAGAGTAAGCACCCAGCGATGATCGCGCGTCGATTTGTGTGTGCGATATATAGTGCATTGTAGGTGGCGCCGCACACGCACGCGCTGGCGCAGTGGCAGACGCAGCAGTTCCAGTTGCGCGTGCACGTGTTGAGTTTGGCGCACTCCTGCCGTACTCTGCTCTCAATGGCGAGCGACTTGTCCGTGGGCGATGTGTTGTACAACGTGGATGAGCGGCGGCGGAAGTTCGACGAGGAAGCTGCGGAAGTGAAGGCCTACCTGCAGAAGATTCGAGACATGTACTTAATCTCGGAGAAGATGATTCAGACCCTCAGCGCGGAATTAGCTACCCAGCTGCCCCCTCTGCCAAATATCCTCCAACCGAATAGCGGTGCTGCCTGTGGCGGTGACCAGGTCAACGGTGGTGTCCAGCTGCCAGTGGTGATTGACAGTCAACCCAGACCTCTACCGCGGTCGACCGTGGTGGAGGCGCTGGCCAACATCACTCTACCGGCCACAACTGCGGGAGTCAGTTCCGACCGGATCGACCAAGTGTCGACCGCAGTCATCGACAATAACCCCTTCCTGCCGGACATCGTGCCCAGACAATTCGACAGAGACTGCTTAACCACCAAAGCAGTTGTCCGGACACCCAATAACGTCACCACCGAAGAAGCCATTGAGTGGCTCACTGTCGATAGCCAGGTGGTCATGCCGCCACAACATCCAGTAGACACCTACCACTCAAGGCTCATGCTGCATCCTTAATCCCGCCCGTTAGTGAGGCCCACTTGTCGCTGATGCCCACTTGTCGCTGAGGCTCCACACTTTCCCAGTGAGGAAGCGGCCAAACCCACTCCCGGCCTGGTGGTATAATCACTCCTTAATTTTGAAAGGACCATCCCTGAGTCTGTGAATCAAGTGCTGAAACGTTTGCTCTTTGGAGTTCGACATGATG